CAATTTCCCACATTTGAAGAGGCAAGTAATGGGACTGAGAGTGATCATTGGTGGTCCTTTGGATGTTTTTATATTTTTTTCAAGATTTTTGTCAATTATGACTGTCAAGGGTGATAGACTGGTTCAAATTTTGCACATGATGCAAAGTTTTTGTAATTGACGAGAAAACTTACCAGCAAGTTATAAAATATGGTTTGAAGTTCAGTAGATTTTTAAGACTTTGCACTCACACTTCATATATTCCCACATTGTGAGCAGACAATGTCAGCTACCTTTGTCCCAGATTATAAACCAGTGAGGATTAAGAAGGAATGCAGTGCTCCAGGCCTCAGTCTCATACATGGTCTGACTGAACAGGTGGTTGTACAACTGGCTCACACAAAAGCTCCCTCTAGCAGTTAGGATGTGCAATGCACCATCATGGTTTTGACTCCCTTTCCTCCACATGGTGCTGAGTGACTTTTATTTGAGCATCGTGTGACCTTTTTAGATTGGTATATGATGCACAATCTTTCAGCATAAAAGACAACTGAGGCCACACCAATTTAATTTCTTGGTTAATGGTTTTTCAAGAAAAATAATAGAGCGGGTGGGCGAAAAAAAAAAAATGAAAACAGGCCTAGGCATCTTATTTTGGCCCAAAATGGATAGGAGCCATGAAGTCAACACACCAGGCTGGTTCAAAATTTAAACAAATTGAATTTTGAACTTTTAATGATACCATTGCATTGAAAGATGGAATAACTGTAACAAGTAGGATGAAAAGGACTGTTTTCAACTGTTCAGGGCAAGATATCAGCATTTTGCAGTTGATTCTGAATTTTTATTTTTATTTGCAAATCAGAAAAAACTGAAGCGGGCGAATCCGTTAACCAAGAAATTAAATTGGTGTGGCCTGACCACTAGATTTTAACTTGTTGGGTTTAAATTCTTTTAATTAAAAGTTTTTGAAAGGATGGAAGACAAAATATCAGACATTCTTTTTGTCACCTATTATTGGGAGGGGAAGTTTTCTCTAAAATAACTGTGGCTTGGAAAGTAATTAACAGAAGAAAATAAATAACAAATAACAAATCAACTTTATTGCTCAACAACTGTAGCTGGTACAATGTATGGCAAAGAAACAACAATGGTACATACATCAACTAATGCTAAGATATAATTCTAACTAGCTAGTCCATAATGATACTAAAGCTAATCTATTGTGTTTTCTTAGGAAGAGTATTATTACATTCTGTAATTCAGGGGATATATCAGCTATTTACAATCTGGTGTCGCTTTTGTAGTGATTCGAATATGAATTTTCCAACGTACACTGATATCTGAGTAGGACATGAAAGGAGAGTATTAAAGATATCTGATTTTGAGTGAGGTAGCGTAACATTAGTTTTGGAAGCTATGGATTGCATCAATATTTGTCTGTTTTCTTCATATGTTGGACATGACATCATAAAGTGGAATTCGTCTTCAATACCCTCCTTGCATGTCGGACACAATCTCTGATCGGCTGGTGTGTTATAATGACGGAAAATGAACAATCTTTAGAGGTAATTATCACCTGAGTCCCAAACTTAGCATCTCATTACTACTAAGTAGTTCATTAGGAAAGGTGTGAGAAAACAACAGTCTGGTATGTATAGACAACTCCTCCCTCAGCTATGTTTGTTTTACCTGTCAGTGGTGTTGTTGGGTTAAGTTTGAATCTACTACTGAATGTTTCTTTTTCACAGGTTGACTTTAGGCCACACCAATTTAATTTGTTTTTTTCTCGGATTTGGCCTGTCCATTTTTTTCAGATTTGCGAAGAAAAAAAAATTGTTCTAAATCAACTGCAAAATGCTTGAGATGAAAGACATGTTTTGGCCCCAACAGTTGAAGACAGTCCTTTTCTGTCTGGTTGTTAAAAGTTTTTCAATGTAACAATGCAATTTTGTTTTATTAAAAGTTCAAAATCTATTGTTTTGATTATAAACCAGCCTGGTATGTTCACTTCATGGCTCATATTGTAACATTTTCGGCTATCATGGGGTGCCTTGGCTTGCTTTTTTTTTCACCCTGTGGCTTCATATTTTTTCTGAAAAAATCTGAGAAACAACAAATTAAATTGGTGTGGCCTTAAATTTCTGTCCACAATATAAACACATCTCCTGAACAGGCAACATGCTCAATATTTGAGATTTTTCAGTATTTATACTTGACATGTCATTTTGCTTTTTGCCAGCAATTCCACTTTTTGTAATGTTTACCACAATGTTGCTCTACATGACTGCATTGTAAACTTTCCATATACCATTTTCTGTACTTTTGGAAAAGAAGATACATGTACTAGATTGAGGTTTTCCTATCTTTGTAATAGTATTACAGATAGTAGCCCATGTCTTTGAACATAATTCTATAAGTAGATCAATTCCTGACCATAAGCTGGGTTCAAAACAATCCTGGAAATCTGATTACCTGAAGCCGTGTAGTTCAAATGCTCTCCTGGCAGATTTGTTTGGGGCCAGGTTCTGCAGAAAATTGCAATTAGGCCACACCAATTTAATTTCTTGGTTAACATATTTTTGTAGAAAAATAATGGAGCGGGCGGGCGAAAAAAAAATAAAAATAAAAACAGGCCTAGGCATCCTATTATGGCCCAAAATGGTACGATAGGAGCCATGAAGTCAACACACCAGGCAGGTTCAAAATTTAAACAATGAATTTTGAACTTTTAATGATACCATTGCATTGAAAGATGGAATGACTGTAACAACTAGGAAGAAAAGGACTGTTTTCAACTGTTCAGGGCAAAATATGAGCATTTTGCAGTTGATTCTGAATTTTTATTTTTATTTTCAAATCAGAAAAAAATGAAGCGGGCGAATCCGTTAACCAAGAAATTAAGATGGTGTGGCCTTACATGACCAAAGATATGTTTGACAAGACTTGTCACAGAACAAGCTAAAAACCAAGATATCCTCTTGTACATCATAAACCCAATGAATTAATTTAGCTCAATTGCTACTATCTCTTTCCAATCAGTTTTGCAAGACTAACAAAAAACTTAGTAAATTCCGAGTGACCATGTACTACATGTAGTGCCCCCAGCATTTCCAAGAAATCATCCGACAGGTCAAGACACTCAGACAGTCCTGGATGTCCTCCATCGAATATTCATAGCATCAATCATGAATGTGATTTGGACACAAAGGGGGAAGGCGGGGCAATAAGAAGTTATACATAAGTCCTTCCTGTATTGTCTGTAATTAGCATTTATTCATGAACAGGGGCATTTTTACTAAGAGGTGTCTCCCAATTCTTTGTCTTCGTTTCTTAAGTCTTCCAGAAAATCCTGACAGAAGTATTCGTATTGTTTACAAAATATCTTTAGTTAGGCAGTTTCTTTCATTGCTTTTCTTCATTCTTTCTTTGAGAGCGGAAAGTAGACAATATTTTTCCAATTGTGCCACCCCTATTGTATTGGACTGTTCCACTCATTGTGCTTGAGTGCCCAGTGTGTATTGGGTGATCAGGAGACCATCAGGATTGATGTGTGTTGCTATGGTTTCACTGTCCCTACACCGTCCACTCCTACAGCAGCGCATGTTTGTGTGCTGTCATCGTGATCAGACACAGCCGTGTTTCTGCTGAAGTGGAGTTTGAAGACTGTTCCAGTTAGTTCTATATACGTCTGGATAATTATCAAGCTTGTTTTGCTGCTTTGAGTTGTCTTAGAACTTGAGCAGTTATGAAAGGGGAGCTGCCAGCTGTAGGCAAAGTAAGTAATCATCTGTTCTAGTTCTACTCAGACCAAGTAAACATGATCGGGACAGAGAGATGTCATAGTTAGCCATTGAGTTTTTAGCTGATGTGTTTAGTGTGGATGCTTTCAGGTTAGAAAACTTCAATTTGTTTTTTTAGTGTCTGGAGAGTTGGCTTGGTTAAGCAATGATTACATTTGTCTTATCATTTTGAGAATCATAAAAGAGGGCCATGCTGTGGTATCTACTGTACTTTGTACGGACCCTTACTAGCAAATTGAGTCTGCTTTTTTATTAGAATACTGTACATTGTCATTGAGAGAAATTAATAATTCAGTCATTTTGATCATGATGGTATGATACAGAAACCCAGGGCTATGACAATCTTACTTTCCAAAAACTCAATGAATTTGTGGGTAAGAATATAACTCCTCAAATGTACATGCAGTATAATAAAATGGGAATCTTTTAGTGTTATAGAGAACTTTATTGACACAAGAAAAGTACAGCAACTTTTGTAAGGTTTAAAACTACAAATAGATGTATACAGACAAATATATTGGGTACAACGAAATTAACCTATGTACAAGACAATAGATGAGTGAACTTATACTACTTGTTCTAAGGGCTGAACATTCTTTGATATATTTACCTATTTGTACACAGTAAGGGTTAGTATCTTCTAGGATGAAATTAAATTTATCTATAGCAAGAAATGTAAAACTTCTATGCGTTGCCTTTTGCGGTTATCGTTATATAGTGGACAATCCTAAATAAAATGATATTTGTCTTCAATATCATAGGGACAGAATGAACAAAACCTCTGGTCGTGGGGAATTTTTTAATTAAGTTAAATTATGTACCGGGCAAATCCCTATGTCAGGGTATCCCACATTTTGTACTGGCTTTGATGTACATAACAGCGGCCACCATACTTCATTATCTGTTGTCAGAGATAGGGGAAATGTGTTACTCTCTTGACAATTTTGTTCTATCCTAAGCTAAGATAATTTAGAATAGCTTGAATATGCATGGAATCTTTTAATAGTTTTCAGCGTACTGAATATATTTGAAAGAAAAACTCACATGGTATACAAATTTTACAGCTTCAGCTCAGCCGCTACAGGGTTTTAATTCTTAAAAATCTTTTTCAGAAAATGAAGAGTCAGCCTAATTACTAAAAGCTGTGTTAAGTACGGCACCACAAGTGTGTTGATATGAAGTTAATTCTTACTGACTGTTATCTTGTGTTTTTCTCAGGGCTCACACCACCCAACCCACAGGCTTCATGGCAATTCTCAACACAGTGCCAAGAACTCCTTCCACAACGTAAGTGTCTCCATTGTCAAGTGTTGCAACTTTTTAAATGTGTCAAACTTCCAATAATTATATTTGACGGACATGAAACATATTTTATTGAGTACTACATAGTAGTACTGAAAGTTTCAGATATTGGATGCAATTATGTGTTTACCTGGGGGACTAATGTATAACTATAAGAGCATTATATTGGAGTCTATGATAATCACACCCACCACTTTCTTTCTTTCTTTCTTTCTTTCTTTTCTTTCTTTCTTTCTTTCTTTCTTTCTTTCTTTCTTTCTTTCTTTCTTTCTTTCTTTCTTTCTTTCCTTCTTTCCTTCTTATCTTCTTATCTTCTTCCCTTCCTTCCTTCCTTCCTTCCTTCTTTCTTCCTTTTTCTCTCTCTTTTCCTCTCTGTCTCTCACTCTCTGTCTCTCACTCTCTCTCTCTCACCCCCCCCTCTCTCTCTTTAACCAGATATTGGAATATAACATTGTGTGTACATGTAGAATGGTCAATTATCAAAATGCAAAATCGGATGTAGCTTGTGTGACACAAACCAAAAAAGACTTCTGTGACACAAAGAGATTTTGTCTCCTTACAGAAGTTTGTGTCAGGAGTGACCCACCTGCCTCAGATCCACCTGGACCACCAGAACACAGCGGGCTCCAAACACGGGACCGGCGCCACCGCAGACAACATCCTGCCTCAGCTGGGCAAGACTGGCTTCCAGAATGGAGAGATCCCCAGAATATCCCGGCAGGCCACCATGGTGTCCAAGGACGCCGACAGAAGGCGGATCCTCAGCTCACAGAGAAGTAAATCACCCTTAACACCAGGAGGTATGAGTCAGCTTTTTCCTACTGTACCAGTAGAAGGAATAGGAACTTCCAATACATGGACTTACAAAATTTGAGACAGATCCAGGAATACTAACTACAGTCAAAGCTGCCCAAGAAAACTAGCCTCTACCAGGCTTCAAAAGCAACTGGAAAGAGTAGAGATTGGCCAGAGGAGTTGGTCTGCTACGGGGTACATTTACTGCCATTTACTGATTGATGTAACAACAAGCTTCAGGAGTGGACAAATGTGCTCCTTTAGCAGACCAACTACTCTGGCGTTTTATCTGCCTATTTGGCCAATTTCTACTCTTTCCAGCTGCTCCTGAAGCCTGGTAGAGGCTACAGGAATGCTAGGCTGGGAACCAAGGTGGTCTTCTTGGATAGGTGACCCTTTTGGGCAGCTCACCTAAATTGCACCAGTGGATAAGTCATAGTTATGGCAGGTAGATGTTGGCTTGAAGAGGTGGCCACTTAGGCAGCAATAGAAAGCTAGCCTCTTCAAACTTAGGCAGGTTTGACTGTAGAACCTAAAATTTAAATGCCATGAAACATGTGAGCATGTAGCATTCACTACTTTTCCTGACAAGTCACTGAAGGAAGGTAGTGGATGCTAACTGGAAACATTGGTCAGTTTCCAAATTCTATCCAGTTGCTTGAGCAGCGTTCCAGCCATTTGCCCGTTTTCCCATCATTTGACGGAATTTTGCCGCTGATGACGGCCAAAAATTTTGCCGTCAATGCCAGACGCCAATTGCCTTCGGCGCTCAATATTTGACATGACGGGGAAAAAATTGGGGCTGACGAGAGGCCTGTGCTTGAGTAATTATTTCCTCGTGTACCTAATAACCTGGATGTCTAATCTTCATCAATCAGCTTCTGAATCAAATTTACATTACGTTTATGGGAAATACCTTGAATTTCAGACTCTGATATTCTTAAAAATGAAAACTGTGTTTGAGGATTATGTTTATTATTCTGTAATTGTGTCTGAATACTTGGTTGTCAAGTGAAGGATAACCTGGCATGTATGAAAACACGGTGTCATAATTTTACCTTGAGAATGTTTTAATTCTAATTGAGTGTGAGACATTTTGTGATGGTTGTACACTCAGCCATACAGGGTTATGTTCCTAACAAAAGAAGATAATCACACACTGCAATAACCCAGTTATCTATAAATTTGATTGACGCTTCTTCAAAAGGTGCTTTGTGGAAGATTAGTTCCCAGGCAACTGACGTCACCACCTGTCAAAACCTGAATGACAGAGCAATGGTGATTGTGCTTTCTCACGTAGAATAAAATGTAGCTAGTGAAATGAAATAAAGGGCTTAACCAAGGCAGCTGTCTTTTCGATTCTTCAATGTCAGTCACGAATACATGGTCATAATATCTAAAGGAAAAAAGATGTGTTCTGAATTCGTCAATGGCTAACTATAGTGTTGCAGCAAATGTATTTCTAAATAGTACACAACTACCTCAGAATCTTTTGGATCAAGTTTGTAACATTGAAACACTAACCCTAAGTACATCATATGTCTTTTGTAACAATAACAGTGTCATGATTGTAATGATTGCTACAATCACAAAGAATCATCTTGTAAAAATAAGAGAGAAGAATGCTTTAACTGACTCAACCGATGCCCAATACACACTAACACAGCTCTTAGTTGAAGTCCAAGACTTAATTGTAAATGTAAATTTTCAAATGCAAGTTGTTAATCTGTTCAACTTGATTAAAATAAGACTTTTCCACTTTTTTTATCTACATGTAACTCCCTTTCTTTTTCTCATTAACTCCTCCAGAGGCCCTGAAATTCTACAAGGGGAAACTGACAGGATTTGAACAGTCAGAAATCCTGGACTACAGCGAGGTGTGGTTTGTCGGAGCGGAGGCTCGGAAAATAGAAGGCGTCCAGGGCTCTCCTCAAAACAACGGCTACGATGACGAAAATGGATCCTACCTCAAAGTGAGACCAACTTCCTCTGTTTTCTTTCAAGGATTTCATGAGTTACAATTGCAACTCGAGTTACAACTTGCCTCTTTTGTTTTTCTTATGAAGACTTTAGATGTTACTGCAGGGCTTGAAATTCATTTTTGACAATAGGTGCACTGGTGCACCCAACCTAAAAAATTAGGTGCACAAAATTATTTTTGGGTGCACCATATAAAACAAAATTCTAATTACAGATCTTACTGATCCTCTTCTGAGCTTGACTTAATCTTAAACAAGTACTTCAACAAAATTAATCAAATTATTTTCTGACACTTAGATGCCAACAATATCCTGCATACTATTATATGTAGTTGATATGTACAAATTAAAATACCTACAAAAATATTTGGGTGCACCAGTGCACCCACAGAAAAAAATTAGGTGCACAGCTCCAATTTTGGGTGCACTAAGGTGCACATGCACCCAGTATTTCCAGCCCTGTACTGTGTTACTGTTTGATGGGAACATAGTAGACAAAACAAGAGTTAGCTTGCAAATCCACGTGTTGATTACCAGGTGTTCAAACAGTCAAGTCTACCTGCTAGCGAAATACGAAAAATTTTGGTAAGGCTGCATTACGATTTTTTCACCAAAATCTTTATGTGATTCACTTCCACTTTTCAACATATCTGGCTGTGCAATTCTCTCTTTCCTGGCATTTGAATCATGTGACTGAATGGTTGGGTGCTAAAACAGCCCACACAAGGCACACTCAGTTTGTGGTACCACCACAAAACACCAGAGAATGTAAACAAACAGAGCTTTTAAACAGACTCGTCATATATATATATCTCAGTCTATATAATTATATAATTATCATATAAACTAAAGGCATCATATTTTGGCACCCCTCTTCTTGAATGGCATTTATTTGGAGCCAGTTTGATTCAACTTAGTATAATACTTTAAATCCTTTTTCTATCGTCCTAATGTTACATATTAATTAATGTAGCTTTCAGATATGGCAGTTTGGCAAGAACAGTAAAAGCTACTGAATATACCGTAGCATGGTTGGAGACAAGGCATACTAATAGTATGAAAAGATTTTGTTGGTCATTTTGTTTCTCAACATGATAATGAGATATTATACCTTCATTGTGGTGACCTGTTAAGTGTCCTTCATAGCCATTATAACAACTGACAGAGATAACTGTTGTAGGTAGAAAATCTGCTCCAAAAGTAAGTTATTATCTGATCCAGCTTTTGGTAATAGAGGCTATATTGGAAACTACATGTAACTCTAACTGTTACTATATATTATTTGAAATCTACTGAGGAAATTTGTTCCAAGTGATGACCTTGATTGTACATAATTCTCAAGTCAGACTGGTCTCAACCGCACAACCTTTTCTTTCATATTCAAATTGAATCATTCTCTCAAGCTGCCCTGGAACTGAGGTTTGTCTGAAATTTGATACCAAGTCATGTGTGACCAGCTTTGAACAGTTACCAACTTGTAATCCAAACTAACTCCAGCAGAAAATGAGCATCCTGACTTCAAAATTCCTTTCTTTCTGCCATGGTGTACCCATGTGGTGTGTGTTGCCATTACTTTGTTGCTAGCATACTTACCATTCAGGTCCAGATTGTATCATACAAACATACATGGAAGGTATGAAGTTCCTTGCAGTTTAAACCTTCCATCAGTAGGTTGCCCCTGGTTTTCTATTTCATGCACAACTGATGTTGCCTAGGCAAGATTATCCTAATGTTGAAGAGAATTAGTTCGGCAAACTTTACCGGAAACCCTTTGAAGCTGCAATGAATGGAACAATATCACAGATAGGCGATCTCAAATGATGCATACTGATAACAGTAAACTCCAGATGTTGCTACAGGTTTTTTTAAAAGAACAATGTTGATAACAATCAGCAAATGAATTAACATCAATGTCCATAATATCACCAGGGTCCATAATATCGAAAAAGTGTGCTTAAAGATATTTTTACTGCAAAATACGTTTGATATGCACTCCTGCACACCTCAAATGTACATACCTAGGGTATGTTGCAGTAAAAATATCTTTAAGCACACTTTTTCTCAAGGTGGCGATATTATGGACCCTGGTAATATTATGGACATGGAAGTTAAGTTTTCCTTTTAACATTGATAAGTTTTCCCTAATCTTTTAGAAAATAATTTCATACTTAGTCTATTAGTTTCTAATGGTAATATTTGCATTGGTTTGTTGAATCATGGAGGTAGTGTAGATTTTCTTCCTCCATGGTTGAATAAATTATTATATTTTACATTGTATTAATTTGTAAAGACTGAATCATTGATGTAAACTGTTGACCTTGTAATGTGTTGTTTATTTCCAGGTTATACATGACCATCTGGCGTATAGGTACGAGGTACTGGAGGTTATTGGGAAGGGGTCATTTGGGCAGGTGGTAAAGGCTATAGACCACAAGACAGGGGAACACATCGCAGTCAAGATCATCAGGAACAAAAAAAGGTGAGAACAACTTCTTAAAGGCATCCAGTGCAATTGCAGGGCGGGAAAACAAAAATATACTTTGAATTAGGAAATCTGACACTCACAATTAGTGCCATTTCTTACCACATTTTTGTCACCATTAATTATACATGTAATACCATGTGAATGTTTGAAATAGCCCCAAAACAAGCTTTATATACATAATTAATTAGTAGTCCCTTTATTTTGTGGTACCACCAATAAATACGGTAGCTAGAATTACTGCAAGTCCCATATATTGTGAAAAAAATAAATGCTCCAGCAAAAGTCTTTATTTTGTGGTACCACCAATAAATACAGTACCCAGAAGCAGCCTACAGTACAAAACAAGCAACCATTTTCTGTCAGCAACATCACATGTTTGCCTCATAGATACATGTGTTAGCCTGGTGTCCAGCCTTGTTAGCTTTGGTTGGACATCGGACTATAGATGTGTATCCTTCCACAAATATATATATAATAATAACCTTTATTGTACATTCATGCCCTATCGGGCTAAGTACAGGTGAACAGATGAAAAAGTAAATATACATGTTTGTAGTACAAACAGCTCTAAATCTACTCTAATACAGAAGTTCCGCTTCTTCTCGTTTCTTTGTGATGTTAAAAATATAATCTGAAATGGGTTTGTATAATACAGGATGATCAAAGCACATAAGAAAGATAAATTTTTCAATATTAGGCAAGTATTGGAAGTATGGAAACGTACTTGTAATATATCTAAAAAGATCATTTCTTTCATTACTATATACTATCAATCAATAACAAAGTGGACTTCATTTTCTACTTTGTTTGAGCTACAAAATTGGCAAATCCTTTGCTCCAGAGGTGTGCGGTTGTGCCTTTCTGTTTTGTTATATCATCATTATAGCAACTAATGAAATGTTTCAGATTTCACCACCAGGCCTTGGTGGAGGTGAAGATTTTGGATGCTCTGCGGAGAAAGGACAGAGACGGGACCATGAACGTCATCCACATGGTGGAGTACTTCTACTTCAGGAACCATTTGTGCATCACTTTTGAGTTGTTAGGGTGAGTTTTCTTTGTATACACCCATTCATTATTCCATCATTCCATACATTCATCCATCCACTCATCCATCCTTCCATCACTTCACCCATCAATTCACCCAATCATCTGTCTATCCACCCATTCATTCATTTATTCATTCATTCTCTTGCCCATCACCAAAAGTCTCATGCATTACCCACTGATGATGATGATGGATCATTAGCGCCACCTGTCTTACTCTAGAATTACTGCAAGTCCCATATATTGTGAAAAAATAAATGCTCCAGCAAAATTCTTCAGGTTGCAACGTTGTCACTACAATACTGTTACCGGTAACCCAAAAAGTTCAAATCCGGAGTCTAGCTTGCGGAATCCATAACCAGTGGCTTTGCTATGTCAGTGTTTTGGTTGTGAATTAGACCATGTTGATTTGACTAATGGATGACATCCTCTGGGAACCCCAAAACTGATGCAAGTGTGCAAATAAAAAAAGTTTGACAAAAAAAAGTTTCCTTCAAATGACTGAACACTCGGAGTATGGTAGAGCAAATACAGTTAATAGACTCTTCATTGATTTTCATTTCTTCACATTTTCTTCTTTTTCTTTGGAATTAATTTTGGCATTCTAGTAACATTTTTCAATATTTCTTTGCAATTAACTGCATATAACTGTTCATTTTGCAGTATGTTTAAAACTTTTTTTTGAAAACAGATGAAAATTCATCAATCAAATCAACCTTGCCTAACGTTGACACCTAACTGTTTTAATTTTATATTTTATTATTTATCTTATTCTATTTATTTATTTATGAAATGCATGCTGCTACTGTAGGTTGTAAGATAAGTGTCTAGAGCTGTGTACCAGTACGCAGTACCGATACTGTACCGGAAAAATTGATTAGGTACAGGTCCAAAATACCTAATCCCTCAGTACCGGTACTGTACCTAAACAATTTCACACTAATTTTATGCCTATTTGTGACCTCAAATGTTTAAATAGCTGGTTAACAATGGGTGCCTGTGTAAGGACAGTGTGTTCATGAAAACAAAAACATCTTAGTTTTGCCTATATTTTATCTGAGCATTCGCCATAAACAAAGAATAAACCTTAACTATCAAGTTTATTTATGTTTTTTTTGTTATTGAAGGAGTTCAGAAGAGCATATAAATTGGTCGAATTGTTCAGGTACAGGTTCAGGTCCGGACCTGTACCTAAACCTGTGTACCTGTACCTGTACCTGTACCTAAAATTTGTTTAGGTACACAGCTCTATAAGTGTCTGATGTTGCTTGACTTGTTTTCCCTCAGAATGAACCTGTATGAGCTGATAAAGAAGAATAACTTCCAGGGCTTCAGTCTGGCACTGATCCGGCGCTTTGCTCATGCCCTGCTGCAGTGTATGAAGGTTCTGTACAAGGAGAGGATCATTCACTGTGACTTAAAACCTGTAAGGAACACATGTTGTTGCTTTGTTTAGGCCACACCGACTTATTTTTATGGATGACATCCTCTAAAGACCCCCAAACTAGTGCGCACGGGCAAATAAAAAAATCCGGCCAAAAATAAAAATGCTACTAAACCACAGGAATACAAAGCTGGTATTGTGAATTTCCAGCAGTACATAGCGACGTATACGACAAGCCGGCATATGGTGGCTTTTTGTGGAATCGGCACTGTACATACTGAGTTCTTGAGTTGTGGAGCTTTGGTGCCATCCTCCAGGGTTACCACCTGCTCCGTATTGTCACTAACTACAATGGACTACCCAGGCGAGAGCCTCAGAGGCCTTTTTTTTTTGAGAACAGACGAAAATCAATGTGCGCGTGAATGTCATTCATAGAATTAAGTCGGTGTGGCCTTACTTGTGGATAGATACTAGTGGGTGTTGGAATATTGTCTGGTAAAGATTAACTTTTTTAAGAAATGTAATCATCACTATCTATTTTGCTCTTAGTTTCACTCAATTGTATTTTTCTTAAATTTTGCTCTTGACTCAATTTGTTCTTTCTTTTTTTTGCAGGAAAATATCCTGTTAAGATCAAAGGGTCAAAGTGCAATCAAGGTTATAGACTTTGGATCAAGCTGTTATGAATTTCAAAGAGGTAGGTGAACGGATTTCATAATGTATCATTGTTAACTTTTTTCTATTATTAAAAGTATTTTCCTTTATGAGCAATTTGACGTTGATTACAACTTACTCAGACTGTCGCTTTTTTAAATAAGTCAGTGATTAATACAGTCGTATTATCAGGCTTCTAATACACATTTTGCCTAACAATTGTGAAGTACATGTATAGTTTATCAGTATCTCAGACAGTTATTTTGTTTACCGAAGGAAAACATATAGTTTTAAAATTTGCTCAGTTTCTTCCTCTTCTTCTTCTCCAAACAGTAACCTCTGACCTGACCAATGACATGATTTGTTGACGTCTGTCACCATGGTGACTGGTGTTGGGTTACATAATGTTGCAATTTCATGGTCTGCTCTGCTCCTATCACCATATACTACGTAGTACATATATGTGAATGTGTTTGAGTAAGAATTAACAGAGCAGACCATGTCTGAAGGTAAACATGATTATACATTTGCTTTGCAAATGTTAAGTTTTTCTCTAAGTTTTAATGATTCCATGTCTAACTGACTTGTATTTGCTGTTGTTACCCTCCAGTTTACACCTACATCCAGAGCAGATTTTACCGCTCCCCTGAGGTCATCCTGGGAATCCCCTACAGCATGGCCATCGACATGTGGAGCTTCGGCTGTATCCTGGCAGAACTGTACACAGGTAACACTTCTCCTGCTCTTCTTCTTCTCTGTTCTCTTCTTCATCTCTTCTTTTCATCTGCATCCTGGCAGAACTCTACACAGGTAACTCTTCTCCTTCTCTTCTTCTTCTCTGTTCTCTTCTTCATCTCTTCTTTTCATCTGCATCCTGGCAGAACTCTACACAGGTAACTCTTCTCCTTCTCTTCTTCTTCTCTGTTCTCTTCTTCATCTCTTCTTTTCATCTGCATCCTGGCAGAACTGTACACAGGTAACTCTTCTCCTGCTCTTCTTCTCTTTTCTCTCCTTCATCTCTTTTTTTCATCTGCATCCTGGCAGAACTGTACACAGGTAACTCTTCTCCTGCTCTTCTTCTTCTCTTTTCTCTTCTTCATCTCTTCTCTCATCTGCACCTCTCTTCTCTTTTTCATCTCTTCTCTTTTCTCTTCTTCATCTCTTCTTTTCATCTGCACCTCTCCTCTTTTTCATCTCTTCTCTTCTCTTCATCTCTTCCTTTCATCTGCACCTCTCTTATCTTTTTCATCTCTTCTCTTTTCTCTTCTTCATCTCTTCTTTTCTTCATGTCTTCTTCATCTCTTCAAAATAAAACATAACTATTGGACAGACATGCATCTACCTTCTTATTGGTTCAACCACTAATTACCATACTCTCATTGGTTGAATTGCTAATTGTGATGGACAGTTAGGATCAGTCAATCTCCCAACAGATGAAGGTACATTTTGTACTAACTTGAAGGTGATGTTAACCCTCTCCCTGCTACCTAACCCCATAACCAGTAGTCAATAGAATATCAAGTGGCTACTTCAGTGTGCTGAAGGTTTAAGTTTACAGGTGTGCTAGTGGAAAGGAGAATGACCCGTGTTGTTTATTTGTTTGTTTGTTGCTAGGATACCCGCTGTTCCCAGGAGAAAATGAAGTAGAACAGCTGGCCTGTATCATGGAGGTTCTGGGCCTGCCTCCCATGAGACTCATCGATGACGCTCAGAGGAGAAGACTTTTCTTTGGTTTGTTTTTTTCTGTGTGTATTCAGTTTGTAGATGAAAATGGCAATAATATCAAAATATTGACAACAGTTAGAGACTACTTGCATCTAACAGTATTAAACCTTTATAATGATAGTAACACAGGAAGCCAAAGCAGTCGAATGAAGTGCACTATTTGTAGTTTAGAATTCAAAGTTATCCTTTTGTTCCAACACAATTAGCACACTCTAGACTGTACTTCTGATGCATGATTCCAGTTACAGGCAAAATTTAAACATTGTTGGAATATGAATGATATAATTTACGTAACCCAAACTCAATGGAATGGACTTGGTAACACTTTAGTATGTGTAAAGGCGTATAAATCCACAGGAGTGTGGGTGATGAGAACTTGTGTTCAGGGATTGTCTGTTAATTACCTGATTTCATCTAGACTTTCTATAGAACATGTTGTTTGTTTGTCAGACTCGCGAGGCCAGCCCCGGTGTGTGACCAACAGTAAAGGGAAGAAGAGAAGACCCAACAGTAAGGACCTGTCTCAGGCCATCCGGACCAGTGATCCCCTCTTTGTGGACTTCATCAGGAGATGCCTGGAGTGAGTTGTTCTTCGGGCTTATTGAAATAAGATACATCAATATAATAGTGTCACTATTTTTTTTCAGTGGTTGTAATACAAAAGACATTTTGGCCCACAATTTATTGCCTTCGTTAGAAGGGTATTTTTTGGTTTGGGCTTGCAGCTGTGTCTGTATGCCAACATCATAAATCAAAAGGTTTAAAATTGTCCACCTGGCTTTTTGCAATAGTACTGCAGCAGACTTTTTATGCATTTGTTGATGATAAGCATAACTGGAGAAGCTGTGTTGGCTCAGAAGGATGAGCTAGGCATGATTTTGCCTTGGATGTTCCTTAGGTGGGATCCAAACCTTAGATGGACCCCGGAGGAAGCCATGAAGCACGAGTGGATCACCGACGGCAAACTGCACAAGACCCGCGGCCAGGTCCAGACTCGCAAGGTCGTCCACTCTAAAGGTCACCCCAGCCACGGTCTCAGCAGCAAGAGAAGCACCGCAGAGTCCAGCGACCATCCACCCAAACATGGTCAGTTGGCAGGCAGTTTGTAAACTGTAGATTCCTTTTCTTTCGAGGTGGTTTTAGGAAAAAAAGGAGATTCTCACAGAATTGTTTCACTGTTGAAACACATCACATGTGTATAGATGTATATTTAATTTACTAAATATTTAGCATTTGGGAACACATCTAAAGCAGCAACACCTGTGCTCACAATATTAATGTGAACCAGTCAGATTTGCCCTGAGGAAGGTGACAGACAGTCCGAAACATCAGCTGAATATAAAATCTGGTCTTGGTTGTGTAAAAAGAGTTTCTTAAGTCAATTTTGTAGTATAATCACAGGTACTGTTACAAAAAACAGTAGTAATACATTAAAAAAGCATATTTGCTGTGTCATAAATTTAGAGTGTCAAGGTCAGTGACTGTGTACAGTAAAAATGGAGAAATAAAACCGCCTGAAAAGTTTCAGTAACCAACATACATGTACAATTATACAATACATCAACTTTGGATTTCGGTTTCTTAATACAAAAATGGCTCTGGTGACACCACAGCAATAACTCACTAAAATATGTGAGTCAGTCTTGGTGAACTTTACTGATTTTAGCACATATTTATTTATCACATATTTAGTAATTTGAAATTAGAGTTAGCGCCCATCCTCTGGAAATAGAGAGAGGCCGGTATAGAAGGCTACCTGTATGTGAAAGAAAATAATGTAAATATTGTAGTGCAAAGGCTGTGGAAGATGAAATACATTTTATTTCAAACTGTTCATTCCATAACAACACTCGAAATGAATTGACTATTCAAACTTCTACAATTTATCCCAATTTCTATAAACTTACAGACCAAGAAATATAATTCTTCTTTTAACTTCCCAAAACCCACAAATTTTGGAAAAGGTGGGACATTACGTCTTCCATGGTTTACAGAAGAGAAGTCAAACCCTTCAGACATAGTTTTAGACATAGTTATAGTTCTAGAGAGCTACCTTTATCATGTAGACTTTAGTTATTTTATACTCTATTTCATTGTTCTTTTATGTTTTGTAATTTGCAATTCGCCTCCAGGCACGAATTTGCAATAAACTTTTCTACGTTATCCTCGTAAATAATCAGTTAGCAGCACTACTATAGAGAAATGTTTGCTTATGTTGTGCCACAACTAGTAGTCATTACTTATATGTTGAGGCAGTCAACTATAGATCCAAGATCCTTGAAAATTTTAAATTTAGTTTGTTTATTTTTTTCCACCAGACAAACTAAAGAGAGAAAAGACAGAAGTGTCCAAGCTCAAGGAGAAAGAAGGGCTGCCATTGGCTACAGAGGAAAGACTGCAACCAATAGGAGCTGTTGATCCAGCACCACCAGAAGTAGCAGTAGAAGAGAAAGGTTAATTGCAATGTATACATATATTTTTTATTTATAAGTGACAATAGCATTCCCATAGACCAGATGTTCATTTTCAAGTAAAAATACATACAATGTATCAGTATACTGAAAACCTTATCTTTCTCTCTGTTATGTATATTTTGAATGGCATAGCCACTTTATTTGTGCATTGTAGCAACAACATAGATGTAATGCATTGAGTTAGACAGGGCATTGCAATACCATGCAAATTGTACAAATATAAGTATCCTGACAAAGTTTTATCAGGCTCGTCAATTTAATCAGTTGATTCTTGAATTCACCTCCTTCATTTTTTTTTTTTTTTGGTTGATTTGCAAAAAAAAAAATTCTTTATTTTTTTTTTATCTTTTGGCTCCAACAGTTGAAGCAAGTCCTTGTCTTTTAAGTTCTTACAGTTTATCCATCTGTCAATGCAGTGTGTTAACTTCATGGCTCTATAGGATGCCTGTCGCTTCATATTTTTCTAAAAATCTGAAAACCAACAAATCAAATTGGTGTTGCCTGGGACAAACTTCAATAAAATGTACTAGATGTTTGCTTCCATAATCTACCTCTCTAAAACATGCAGAAAAAATGGTGACAAATAAATAAAAATAAATAAATGCAGTTGTTACAAATTTTCTGCTTTTCTTTACAGAAAAGAAACAAGCCCCAATCACAGTGGACAATTTCCCGGCAAAGACGGGGAACAAAGCGGTGAGCAATTCCAAGACAAACGAAGGTCCGTCCAAGGAGAACACGTTCTCCGAATCTGAGGTGACCAATACGGTGACATCATCTGAGACAATAGGGACAGAGGAGAGCACCAGTGCAGAACAGACAACGGAGAAATTCCTGCCTCCTCTTGTCTAACACCTTCTCTTATAAGTTGTAAATACAAACATGTTTTAAAGGATGTAAAAAGTTCTGAGCAGTTTCAGGGTTCCCTTAAAGATTGCATTCAAGCCAAATTGAATATTCAAATTGTAAACAAAAAGTACTTAAATGCACATTTCAATTATTAATAAGGAAAATTTGGTCTTGGACTAACTTAAACTCGTCCTTTGATTTTTAGTGCTCACAGGTCTTAGGTCACAGGTCTGCTTTCTATATTTCTATTTATTCTTTTTAGTTGGTTGCAAAGAAAACCTCGAAGGTTTTTATCAAAAACTGAATTACATCTTTAAGGGAATGTTTGTTGTTTACTTGACCGTGACAACCATTTTAAGATGCAATTTTGAAGAGAAAAAGTTGAGTTTTGTTGTTCTCACGTGCACAACTGCTGCTACATGTAAATGTATGTCCCACCGGTCTATGCAACAATCCTTCACATGTAGGACTCAAATTTTATCATTCAGTATTTTTGTGCTTATTTATAATCAGAAATGTTTGTGGCTGTACATATAAGAACAACACTGTACATCCAACACTGTTTTTCTTTGAAATTCTTTCTATTTTCAAGCATTTTCTTGCCAAACAAACTTGATCCATCCAAACCGTATATATCCGTCCTATGAAATGTTTTGTCATACTCAGATATGATTTTGTTCTGTCCTAAAACAATATAATAACAAGTTCAGTGTATCATGTCTACTAATAGTATATAATTCTTAATATCGTTGTATTTTGATGATTGTTTTGTCAGTCAGTGATAACATGTTGTCCAGTAACTGTTAAAAAATCTGTCAAATGCTGCTAAACGCAAATGCACAATGAATGACAAAAATCTTATAATGATGATTTTAAATATCCCAACTGTCCAAAGTAGGTCTTGCAATATACATATAATATTAGATATTCTACATTTTTCATGCAGTGGGTAAATTTAGATATTGTATTAAACAATATCTTTGTAAAGTTACCATATTAACTATAGTTTTCACATGCAAGGGGGGATGCTATGTAGTAGCAATATGTAATTGCAGACAGTTTTATGACCCTTTGTACTTATTATAATAATTGTATGTTTAATGCTTGTGTGTTTTGACTTTTACGATGTATATAATTGTATTACTGTTATATATAGAGAGTTAACAATTTGCACTATCATTTTCTTACTTGAATAGTGCACAAGTTTTTGCACAACTTGTTCTGTATTTGTGCAATAGGAGCAGAGTGACTGTTTTTTCCAGTTTTCATTCATTTTAAACGTACTAAAAATCTAGACTTAATGCTGAGAAATTGTTTTGAGCTTTGTAGTCAAGAGCAGACAAAAATACCAGGTATTGAAGAACTAGGCAATAACACGACACAATCTATATTATAGGTTATCCAATATATGTTAGTAATTGTTACATGATAAAGGCTAAATGCACAAAATTTTGTGACCAAACTTCAAAGATCATCTGTTCAATCTTGATGCCAAAGGACTATCTTTATTTATGACTCATTGCAAAGGCTTTTTTTCTCAAAAACACACTACCCTTATGATTTTTTGGTACGTATGGTAAAAGAGTTTGGTAAAAGTTTTATAACATTCTGTACCAAAAATTTCTCTATTGTATGAAGTTTGCAAATTGGCAAGATTCTGTCTTTAAGAGTTTTTATAATGCGCCATCCCAAAAATTGCTCTATTGTATGCATTTTTTTACTTTGCAAGAACTGGCAAGATTCCGTCCTATAAAGTTTCTATAACATTTGGTACCTAAAATGTTCTATTGCGTGCATTTAATGAATTGGCAAGATTCCGTCCTTGAATATTTTTATGATATTCTATACCTAAACTTGCTCTATTCTATATAATGCATTTTGTGAATTGGCAAGATTCCGTCCTTTGAAGTTTCTATAACATTCCATACCTAAAATGCTCCATTGTGACATGTGCATTTTATGAATTGGCAAGATTCCGTCCTTAAATGCTTTTATAATACTCCGTACCTAAAATTGCTGACTATTGTATGAATGTTGTGAATTGACAAGATTCCGTCCTTAAGAGTTTTTTGTAACAATCCATCCAATAGTTTATAATGTTTATGAACTCTGCTATGCCAACTCTAACCTTCCATTGAAAGAAAACTGAGAATAAAGGATCCTCCAAGTAACCATACCATTTTGCTGTCTTGCCAACTCAGCATACTCCTAACTACAAAATAATAGGTGGAGATTTGAAAATATGATTCTGTTTGTCAAATGATCCAACCATCAATTTACTGATTTATGTTAATATATATATTATTTTGGTTTTAAATTCCTAACAAGTATTGTAGAAAAACACTGGTTTTGAACAAATTGTTGTATCTGAAAGCTAGCAGAAAGACATTCTGTCATTGTCCATGACAAAATATTTGTGAATTTTTGCCTGATAAAGGTTGCCAGTATTTGTACCCAGGGTTGAAATGTTCATAATGTATAATTTTAGTTGAAAACGTGTTTTGATGGCAGTATTATGGGTTTTGCTGTTGACATAATAATTGAATGCTTTGGTATATGGCAAATGTATTTTAAAATGAGGGATTTTATACACCTTTCTGTATTTCAACAGTCCACCCTGTCTTTTTCAGAAGGAAAATAGCATGTAATCTGGAGTGTTTATAGAATCTGATATTTTCCATTCTAACTGCACAGATCAAGTTGTACATGTAACATGTACATTGTATGTACTGACTCGTGACTTAGCCTTACATTGCAGACACCCTCTTATGGTAAAATGCAATAAAATTTAGGTTTATTTGACATGTCAAATCTGAATTCGTGTGTTTTTTTTTCTCTTATTTCAATCATTTTTGAACTACCAGTGTTCAGAGATCTTCTGAGGCTCGTCAAGCCGTTTAGTGAATGTTTCAGAATAAAGAGATGCTTGTAACTAAAGACTAAAACGGTTCTTTCCTGATAAATTCGTGAGTAGTAGGGTGAGCCTCAATGTCAAGAACAAGAGCAACAAGAATTAGAAGACCTCATACCTACATGTAAATATTTAGAGCTGTTTTATTTTTCTTTGTTTTGGGATTTTTCTTGTTGATCATAAAAATGTGATCATGATTACATGTGGCTATTCTATATGTTTTTTTAACAAATTACATATATTTCATATGTCAAAGCCCTATCCATTGGCGTCCATGATCCGGATGAAGCCACACTGCGTTCAGACTGAAGTAGGATACTTTATGCTGAGGTCACATTTCCAAACCGGGGCCCAGGCGGGCAGTCTTATGGAACGAAAAGTATGATATAATACCCAACAAAGCACAGAAAATTTGAAAAATTTAATAACGGGAACTATTTGCGCATGTTAATGGAATAAATAGTTGATTTTTCGTTAATAGAAACAGCCAGGCCGGGCCCTGGTTTGGAAATGTGACCTCAGCATTAAAGACGGTTGGAAACAACCTCCGGAGCTGATTTGGGATCAAACCGGTTTCAATGTGCCTTGGAGCGGTCAGACGGAGCCACACGAATCCTTCAACTGATTCGGCTTCAATTCGCTTTCGCGAGCTGAACGTGAAAGAGTAACTTTTAATTTGTGACTTGATGACAAAGTAAAGAGCCAGAAAAGATCGTTTGATGCGATTAAATACAGCCTCATTGTCGTCGTTTTTAACGTTTTTAAAATGACGTTTAGAAAGTCATGATAAGAAAATTTCCCTCCAATTTTCCAAGAACCCTCCAATCGGAGTACATGTACTAGTAGATGCAAAATGGCACTGGCACATAAGTTTGAAAAATGCAACAAAACATTAAACTTTAGTGAAAACTTTATTATATCTGTATTGTGAATTCACTACAAATTTTGCTTTGGTAAAAATTTGTTGCGTTTGCAAATCAAACTGCACACAAACATTACGAGAAATCAAGCTAACTGCATCTCTACACAGGCATAAAGCGTATATTGTCATTGCTGTATGGCATATTTAGGACATGTTCTATTCCATGACCAAAGACACGTGGCAATATGATACCAAAAGTCCTACAGCCCAATTAACCTGTTTTAGCAAATTAACAACTTAACATATTTTTGCAATGTATTAAGTCAAACAGAATTGAAGATAGAACCTATGGATTTCTGATGTGTGTACGAGAAATTTCTTTTGTTCGAAGCAGTTCCCGCAGGCTATAAGATACCAGCTATGCCGTATTCATTCGACGGCTTCTGTCGCATCTTGGCCCGTAGTAATGTCTGTTTCTTCTGTCTGGTGTTCTGGTTCGTATATAACGTTAGTTGTGACGACATGGTGCGACTCTCCTTGTACGTAAATGTCAGTATCTGCGCGGTGAGGAGACGCGTCTGCACCACGGCAGGCCAGCGTTGTCTCATAGATGGTCTCGTCTTGGTCAACGGACCTGGTGGTGTTACATGTATGTAGTCTCTCCATTGCAGGGTACACGGAGACCGTCTCTAGATCTGTACAAGCGTTATAATCCGCACTATTAACAGTATTCGCCCTAACTGTTTCAGCTCTTGACAATTCAATGTTCGCTGATGTGGCAGCGTAGAAAGTTGTAGAGTCCTCGTTTTCACAATTTTCGTACCGTGGCGTCTGTTCAGAATTATCATGAATGTCGTCGTCGTTAATTTGAGAATAGTCGTGCCCTGTTGGAACGTACACGTCATCTTCGTCTATCTGGTTGTAGGTGTTGTCGTCTGTTGGACGTAGGTCGGACGTACCCCGTGTCTGTGGCGCTTGTTGTGTGTTACCAACTGTACATTGGGTTACTTTGTAGGCAACCTTGGATATTCCTAGCATTACCGCGGAAACGATCCAGGTTATTTTTTCTTCTCTTTTGATAGTAACTCAAGGCAATGAAACATGCTGCAATGAAAATACTCACAACTACAGAACCTACTATCGCTGGAAGTATTACATTTGCACCGCCATTTTGTATCATGTTCCTTTGTGTAAGAGAAAATGACGGTACCCCGAATGTTACCCAAACTCTGTCACTCAGTGATTCTGGTGTCAGGGTTACGTTGGGAGGATAGAGTGATGATGTATTTTCTGGTCTTTCCATTTTGTTCCTGGTGCGAGATGTGATTTTGTTTCTCTCATCCGTTGATATAGTGGAAACCGCTTGAAAACATTGCGATTCTTTTACTTCGGATGCGTTATAGAGAATGGACATCCGTTTTTGTTCGTGCCTGACGATAGGATAACATGCTGCTATGGGTATAGAAGTAGCTTTTCTCATACTATTTCCCACCACGCTAAAGTTTGCTTTGCTGGTGGTCGGTCCGGTTGTTTCGTCACTTGTTTCAACACCAGAGAGTCGCAATCTCGATCCGTTTATCAAACCCAGGTTTAAACCACCAGACTCTTTCCATGCCTGCCAACATTGGGTTAAAAACGACTCCTGCTTTTCTGTCTCCTCGTTCTGAACAATGATGACGAAGGAATGTGCAGTCGTTAAATGGCCCGACCGCATTTCTTCTGATAATGGATCACAATAATGCGCCCACTTGTTCATGTTTCTCATGACTCCCGACATGTTATACCAGTCAATGTCGAACCTGTCTGTAGTACTGTCATAGGTCACGTGTATAACCGTATCAAACACCCGAAACCGTATCCACTGCTTTGATTTTTCTTCAGCACAGTTTCTGAACAGAACGTCCCAGGCCGAATCATACTCAATATCTGAGCCGTCAGCGTGTTTTACGTTGGTCCCACTGAGCTCGACTTCTAAGTTTTCTGTGATCAGAAAAGCATTTTTGTGCAGACATACCACATTGTTGTCCCTTAGATCTAGGATTTCCAAATCTTTTAGATATTGAAACGCGTCAGATGGAATTGTTCTGATGTTGTTTCTACTGAGGAACAGATCTCGCAATCTTACAAGTCCAATAAACCATTCACTACGGACGTCTTGCAACATGTTACCCTGTAAGTAAAGTGTATCAAGATTGTCTAGATTTTCGAAACACCCGGGGTCTAAGCTGGCGATTCTATTGTAAGATATTGAAAGTCTCATGAGGCCGTATTTGTCGCGTGGTTTTGAACCGATGTACCAGTGTTTGGGAATGTGTCTTAACATGTTATAATCTATCTGTAACACCTGTAACTCAGAGAAGTCTTTAAATGTTGCATGGTCTAGTTCGGTTATGCCGGCATGTATAAGGGAAAGAGTTGTAAGTGAAGAGTTGTCGATCATTTCTAATTTTTGCGATGATAGTATTCCGTATTGTAGCCCTCTCAGCACAAGCGTCGCCATACCCGAAAAACATTTGCCTTCGTGGCTACCTGCCGTTTCTGTAGAGTAGTTGCGACCATTGTGACATTGTACACACACATGTAGCCCCCAGTCTGAGCCGCGGCTAGTGTGAAAAACACCAGCCCTTTCCATACCAGTGTCAGGCAAGCACGATTTCCACTCAGCTTTCCTTTCACATGTAGAAAAACAGTTCTGATCTGCTGAGACCAAAGCTACAATCACCAAAGCTACAATAATCAAAACCATACAGGTAAACTGAAATCTCGACTTCATTTTGGGAGCTATATTTTTCTTTAAATAATTTTGCAGGTTCTCTTCAACATTTAAAGTGTCTTAAAGTTTGTCATTGTTATTTTGAACCAGTTACTTCAATTTTTCAAAGCGTCTTGATACTTTTGTGCCCTTGTAAGCAGGTACAAGTACTGAGTGGTTTTGTACTCGTATTATGGTTCAAGTTCTCATTGGCTTCGGCAACACTATAACCTAAACGTCTTCAGAGAGCCACCAAACCCTGTGTCTCTGTTTAGTGAAACAGAACGATAACAGTTGACACCATGAAGGATGTTGTTTTGAGTGTCTGTCGCTGAGAGAATTACCTTCTGAAGCTGCGTTCTCCAGACCGGGAGCTGGATGTTTGGGCGGCGGGCCTCCCTGCCGAGTCGCCCGAGGGATCAGAGAGGAGGTTCCGGTGGCTGGAATGGTACGGTTCAGTCTGCAAAGTGAACAAAAGCGAACAGAAAAGTATCTTTCCAGATATCTTCTACGACCAAACTGTTTGATCTGCAAGTTCGAATTCTTCTTTTCTATATAACGGGAGTAGAACCTCTAACGGGGTATCTTACCTGCGAACAGCAGTGTGGACGGCGAAACTAATGAAGCCAGGCGCTGCCGGAGCTTGTTGTATCTTCTCTGCTCAGACTAATGAACAGGCCAGACTGATAACTTCCCTCAGAACATCCGGATTAACATACACACGCACACAGGATGGCCTGAGGAAAGCCGGCGGTGCTGGAAGCTACTGTATACGTAGTCAAACAAATCCATTTAACAATATAAAGTAATACACAGAAGGTAAGCAGGCATATGAGGACATCTATGAAGTAAATCTCTACACAAAAACTAGAGTAATGTTGACACTGCCTGTATATGTATATCAACTAACTCACAAACACCCTGGGTTTTGAAATAAATTTCCAACATTCGATTGTCTGCCATTGAAACATACAGCACGTCCCCTCAAGGCCTGCCGGATACGATAGCTTCTTGCTTGGGTTGAGAACAGATTTTCATTTTCTTATTGACTTTGTCGTTTCCAAATGTTTATGTTGACGCTTTTTCTTCAAGAGATCAAAGTATCTAACAAATAAAATAAGGACTATGAAACACATTTATGTTTGCAAGCTCCAGACCAATGTCACACGTGCGTTCCATGATCCACTGAGTATCATTATCCGGTTGAGCGCTACTATGATCGAGGGCAGAGGAAGACAGGGAGTGCCCTTAAGGTTTAACGGATATAACACGTGTATTAATA